TCCTGCTCCGACCGCAAAGGAATTTGTTTTATATGTGCGAGATTTGCCGGACGTGCAGAATGTTTTGTGGATGATGAGACCCTCCGAACGGCTCAGTGTTTCCACATGATGTCACAGGCTCCTTTATCAGTGTGATGACGGCTAATCACCCTGATTCCTGTGAAAATTTCAGCCAAAGGCCCAACTGGTTTACCACCCCTCCACCCCCCCTCCAGTTAGAGCCAGAAATGCCAAGTTAAACGTCTGCGTTGTGTCTTATTGGGCTGCGTGCTGTTTAATTAACGCCAGTATTTGTCATCACAAGTGCGATGACTGATGAGCTCCCAGCAGGGGGGGCAACACCACGACGAGAGCCAGGGCTTTGTAACGAGCTGACCCAGGAGCGGAACGACGAGGGCCTGTGGGTTCGCGTGGGGTCAGCGGTGGAGGAATGCTCTTGTGGGGCAGATGCAGATCCATTTGGCCTCCACGCTGACCCCTGCTGACATGCTGCAGGACTCCTGCACTTGGGCTGAGCTCAGGACTTTGGTATGTCTGCCCTGACCATGGACGGTCCTCGTCTGCAGCGACTCACCAGAGCAGCCGCTCACAACTCCGTCAGCTGTTTCCTCTTTCCTCTTTTATTTTAGCTGTAAATAAAGAACTTTAGCACAAAAAAAAACTAAAGAAAAATGACACATGTGCTGCGTTGACACCAAAAGCCATACAGACATGAACTAAAATATTGTAATGCCTGTATTGCGCCACTTGGTCATTTCTGGACCTTAGCCTCAGTCCGTGGTCGCGCCCCTACATGCTATGGGAGAAATGGCGCGTGGGAGAGTTTTTTTTATCTGCTCATTTCTCAACCTGGTTCCAACGGTACCTCCCAGTAGTAAAACAAGCCACAAAAAGTCTCACAATTTACCAAAGAGTGCCACCTCCTGGCTAACCGTTGCTCATGCCTCTTCTGTTTTTATTCCGGATCCTGATAAAACACAGCAGCAGCGGTGCTCATGCCTCTTCTGTTTTTATTCCGGGTCCTGATAAAACACAGCAGCAGCAGCAGCGGTGTTGGTGCCAACACACACCTCACGATAAGCCTGTCCACCATTGTTCACAAACTTCTCTGCTCACTTTAGGAAGTCGACGTCGGGGTAAACTCCTCTCTGATTGGATGTCGTGGCACAGTGCCACCTGAAAAGTGAGAGTTGTTGGTCTGGATTTATATGGATTTTCAGACACTTGTCCTTGACTTTAATCATGTTTGGGATTAATTGTGTTTTTATCTGAAGGTTTCCTTCCGTCATTTCCTGTCGCCGTCATTAATCCATCAAATTCCAGGTTTTATTTGCGTGACACGTCAGTCAGACTCCTGACGTTGTAATTACTTTATTGGTCTGCTGTGTGCTGTCATCGTGCTCGTCAGTCAGTTTCAGTCTGACACGTCCAGGATCAGTGGCAGTTTGTAGCTTCATTACTTCATGAGGCAACTCAGTTTTGTTTTTTGTTTTTTTGGGGACAGTAATTTTTGTTTTTTGTTTTTTTTTTGGGGACAGTGAAACAGAGAGACTTCACTTCATGTAAACAACAGAAAAAAGTCCTTTTTCTTTCAGGAATGGAATTAATCAAAGCATTTTCCCAAGTGAGCAGACTGAACTGGACCACACCCCACAGTGTAAAATTAGAATTTATAATTAGCATGTTGTGGGAAATGGCAGAATCAGAGCAGACCAGAGTCTTTCACTCCTGATGGAGTGAATTATTTTCTTCTTCCTCCACTGTGATGTTCAGTCATGAAGACGTTGATGTGATGAGCTGACATTTTCCACTGGATACTTACTGTAGTACATTTAATACAAGTATTAGTACTAGAGTAATATACTGCAAAGATACTTTGACCTCTTCATTCTTCTTCATTGTCGTCTTCCTGTTTTTCCTCATGGATTCAAGGATTGTAAAATGTTACTAAACATAAAGTGTAAATTATTGTTGTTATTGTTATTAATTCCTATAATAACACGTTATATCTGTATATAGATTTTGTTTTTATTAAAATTAATTATGTTAAATTATTAAGATTATTTTCCATTCAAAATAATGATTACTACTACTACTACAACTACTACTGCTGCTGCTGCTGTAAATAATAATCACAATGATTATTGTACTCATTATTATTATGATGATTATTATCATTATTATTGATGTTGCTGTTTTTAATGATGTCAAATCAAAGAAAAGCAGATGAACGGGACCTGAAGTTTCCTCTGCATGAACT